GACAGCCATTGGCTGTCGATTATAGTTGCATATTTAACAAAAAAAATTTTTGTCGATTATAAACATTTTCGACTATTGTTTATACGGCAATTTTGGTTGTCTATAATTGATAGTATTTTCTGTCGATTATACTCTATTTTCTAGTAGTGTGACTATTGATTTGAAAAAGTATAAAATTTTTGACTAATATAACTAACGAAGTAAATTACACAAATATAAATTGATCTTAACTTATGGTGAAAGTGGAAGATGTTCTAGGCTTCTAGTACTAGCTAGTGATAAATTCTCATAGATTAGGGGTATAAAGAGAAAGAGAAAAAGTAGTAATTTGTAGTTTTATTAATCCAATTGTTTACAAACAAACATTCGCAAATTCATGTTATCTTCTCCACAGGAACCCAAAAAAAAATTCACAATTTTGTGAACTTAGAAGAGATTTAGAACATAATGCGCCAAAGAATACTCAACCGGAAAGGTCACAGCCATAATTAGAGTCCGTCAGCTCTGGCACCGTGGCAGATCCTCCAATGGATGTGGTAGTCTCCAGCTCTCCCACCCCATTTTTCACTATCAACACCGTGCCTAGTCCCCATGACTGGTGCACATCAATGTGACAGTGCATGAGCCATACCCCTACAGAACGTATCAAACTATGCATTACATATTACACCACCAAAGTAATCAAACCTCAGAATTTTATTTTAATGCAACTGAGTATAAAACTTACACGGATTGTCAGCAACAAACCGAATTGCCGCCCATCCACCCACCGTAACTCCAATGTTGTTCATGTAAGGCGGATCCACCAGGTTGGAATTCGCTTTCTGTGGATTAAACTTGCCCGTACCAAATCCAGTAACATAGGATCTGTAGCCGTGGAGGTCAATAGGGTGGTTTTCGGTGCTGACCGTCCCAGTGTCTAGGGAAATTATCTGTACACTAGTCCCGTATTCAATTACCTTGGTCTTGGTCCCATTTAGAGCCCGTGTATTATTAGGGGCATTATTTGGTGCCTCATTGACAAAGTCATAGAACCGTGAAGGGTGCCCTAGGAAAATCCTCTGGGAGTCGTCCTTGAATGTTCTTTTGAGAGTGTCTTCGAAACAATTTATGTCTATCTCAAAAGTAATCTCTTCCTGTTTTGTTTAAAGGCTGGGCTAGAGAATTTATAAGAACTTATTTCTTTGTTAGCACTTTGAGAGATAACTCAATAATTAAAAACTTAACATTTTAAATTGAAAATCTCAAATTCAAATATTAAATCAGGTGGAGAAAGATTTTAAAAAAAATCATTATCTTTTTTTATATAACTCGTTATTATCAAATATATATAAAAATTAATGAAAAATTAAATTTTAATCAACAAAATGAAAAAATAAAATCTCTTACCAATTAAATTACAACTCCTTTTCGTCTTTCAAAATTCTTATCATAAGCTTCCACAACCAAAATCAGCGGCTTAACGAAAGTGAAATCGTTCATAGATGCCGCAAATGTGCTATTGTTCGGACCCTGGCAGTTCTGTTGCGGCGTCTTGGATTTGCACTTGTTAACGTTCAATCCAATGGTAACGAAACCGAGTCCATTGAAGCATAGAGGCCTTTATCAGCCTTTAACATGCTTCGGCAGCAAACTGCTTCGTGTACTCTGCATCCGCCTCCACGATCGTCATCTTGTGATTGGCTATGGTAGAAAAGTTCTCCATGTTAAAACGGGCGTTTATCTGCCTTAGCATGTAGTTCTTATCCGGAACCACATCAATCTTATACACATCTGAATCTTTCTTTTTTTCTGATGAGCTATACACATCTGAATCATTAATTATTAGGAAAGATGGGTTAATTAATAATTGAAGCATATATAGGTAATTAAGTTTTTTCTTTTTTCCCTTTTTTTTTTTTAGTGTGTATACCATTGGATGGGCAAATTGGGTCAAGGGTGGTCGTTAATGGTGAAGGCATCAGCGGAAGGAGGACATCCGCTGCTGGCGAGGACTTGCTTCTCGAGCTGGACAACGTCTTGCCAATTAGACTAATAGAATGTGTCAACAACTAATTAAAATTAGCATTAAACTTCTATTGTGCGCTGCTAGGATCAGTTTAAAAGTTATTATCTTTATACTTGGTAAATAAATACAAAGGCGATATTTTCTTTTTTCTTATTGCTGTTGCAACCTGTGTATCAGGGGAATTGTAGATTAACCATAACATTGTTTTTAGGTATAGGTCCTTCCTTCAGTTTGTTCTGTTTAATTAGTACCAAACCAAAAAGTCAGCTTGACATTTTACGAACCACGATTGGTTAATTTCTAGTTTCTATCCAGGTTACTTATCACTTCTTTCACTGGAAGAAAGGAACACCATTTGGAGAAGATCAGGGGACTTATAATGGATTAACTTGGTGGGAGCTGATAGACAGTGGAAAAGCGGCGCTTACGCTCAACAGAAAGTTTCTAACTGGTGTTGTACCTGTTGTGCTGTAAGTTTTCCCATGTAATATCTACAAAGTTTTATAATCTTCTGAATTAATCTTTGAAATGTCTTGTTTGTCTACAAATCAGTATGGTTGGTAATCTATGTCTACCCAGATATGTTGAACATTTTTTATTAAGTTGATTTATGAGAATCTAATTGGTTGACTCCAATAGATATTCTTTAGTTGTGTCTGCGGAGGCTTAGACCACATAGGAAAATATCAAGTAGAAACTTCTTTCTGTTCCTATATATGGCCTAGAAGAAGAGTGTTCAATGTTAATAATTTTATTGGATGATGATTGCACCATTCGTACAATTTTGACATTCGCGTTACAATACGGAAATAAGCATATATGGCAGTAGTGCTCCACAATGAGCATGCATGAATGAATGCCCAAAATACGTGGAAATGGGGTGGCATGGTTCTGTAGTTTCGCCATTGGATATCTGTTCTTTTTTCTCTTTTGCACTCTTCTAAATGAGCACTTAAGTTCTCTTCTTCTTATTATATTTGTTAAAAAGAAAACTTTGCATTTATGCTGATTGGTTATTTGCTTTTGCATTACATACACAACACCAGTCTGCAAAAGGTTCTGATAAACAGCAGACTGGAAAATAATATATATCGAAAACAGTGGTTTGGTTACCCTTAATTGTCTTCATGGATGCCATTGGCCAGTATGAATTTTCTATTTTTAAAATTTACTTAGATATATTGTTTTGCTGAAACTTGTTAATGTGGACGCTGTACTTAGAAGTTAGAATCTCAATTTCGAACAGGTATTTGACAGCCTCACAAAAGACTGTCTACCAACATCCTATGCTCTTCTTCAACACTCTTGCTGCGATTGTCCTTGTAGTCGCAAAGTTTCCAAAACATGGACAAAGGTGTGGATTTTCGGAATTAATCAATGGTGATACGTTAATTAATGAGCCTCCTATTGAGATTAGATGGCTTTGCCTGCTCAGAAAGCCACTGATCCTTCTCATATTCTTACGATTTACTGCCTCTCACAGCTAAAATGAATTGCAGGCGGTAATATGTTTGCAAATCAAATGATATTTTTTGGAGGGTACCTTGTGTTTGGGGACTAACATCCCCTGGTGATTCAAGCCCCCATTTCAATTCATTGGAAAATAATGCCACCTCTCCTTTTTCCTTATTTGGATGTTGCTGAATAGATACGCAAGAGCTACGTAAGAAGCATTGAAATACAAGTACTTAACTTTTTTTTTTTTTTTTCCATTTTTTGATGTTACAAATACTTATCATTGTTTACGCAAGAAATTACTTATCATTTCTGGAAATGTAATTTCCCGCTGCCTTAATTTATGGTATTGATCTTTAAGAATTTTTAAGCTATGTGCTAAGGGCGCAAGAAAAAAGTGTATTTAGGACCATTTTGGTGGGATAACGATTTGGAGGTAGTTATTAACGATTTTGTTCAAATTGCTAAGAATAAATGTTTAGTAAATTTATATATTTTGAAACTACTACAAATTAAGTGTTGGATAAAAGTTTTTATTTAACAGTTTGAGATTAGTGGATAGAGGTTAAAGTTTAAATCACTGCCAGATTCAAAAAATTATCTAAGATAGCTTTTTGTATTAAATTGTCAGTTGATTAAAATTTTTTAATTTTACTAACTAATTTACCTTTTTAATTTTTAAATTTTTTAATTTTTGGCCACAACTTTTAATTAGTACTTATCTGATTAATTTCAACTTTATTTTTTATCTTTAATAATATTAAGTAATTATTATATATTTTTTTATATTAATTTATCATAAAAAA